GTTTTTTTGTTTATTATTAACTTTTTATACGATCAAATGTTTACTTATTTCTTTCCTCATCTTTTAATTTTTTTTGTTTTTTTTTTCTTTTTTTATGCACATTCATATATTTTTAAGTTATAACATATAAACTACTGTGCACGTTGTTGTTTTTAAAAAGAAAGATAGTGGCGGGGGGTTGGGTGGGTGGGGGGAGGAATATAACATTATTTTAAATAAAACATAATTTTATGTGTAATTGAACGAGATATTTTAATCAATTAAGAAAATATTAAACAAAATAAAATTATTTGAAAAGTAGAAAATATATTCGAGTGTAAAAAAAAATTAAAATCAATGGGATGAGCGCTTATAGGCGCTCTCAGTCAGTGCTCACTCACCAATAGTAATCCAAGGGTTAAAATTCATCCTTGAATTTGTCGAATATGAAAATCAACGAAATTTCAATTGAGTCGTAGAATTTTATATACCGGGTGTAGGAACTAAATAAAATTACTTTAAACTAACACGGTGAAATCCGATTCTAAAACGTTTCGATAAAAAGAATAAGTGGGTTGAGGTGAGGTGGGGGGAAGGGGTATGAACGGGGTTAAAAACTATGTTGTTTACAACGAACCGATAATAATCTTCGATCGATTTAGTTTGAAATTTCAAACTTCAATACAATTACGTTCGATTTTATCTGATGTAAACAAAAAAAATAAAATACAGGGTTGTGTGTGTGTGTGTGTGTGTTGTACTTCGGTATGGTGTCGATGTAAAGAAGAGAAGAAAAAAAAACAAAATAAAAAGCTCTCGCAGACGGTTTAAAAAACGGGGGTTGTGTTCTGTTGGTTGTGGTGGTGGTGGTGGTGGAGGGGATGTTTTCTTTTTTTTTTTTTTTCGTAACTTTTCATTAAGTTTCGATCGTATTACTTGTAAACGTATAGAAAATAGATGCTGAGGAAACGTTGCTCTCGAGTATTCCACTTTAAGAGTTGAGGAGGAGGGGTTGGGAGGAAGAAAAAGAAGAAGAAAAGAAAGAAGGAAGAAGGTTATCGAAGTTGAAATAAATCAATGTCAGGGTTCTTACTTCTCTTCACCGTGAACTTACTTTTCACATAGAAAAATAAAGAAGATGAACGAACGAACGAAATTCGTTACTTTTCCAACAACCCATAAAAAAGAAGAAAAAAGATTTAAGTTCGGTTCGAACAAATTTCGAGAATACCATCGATTTTCTTCCATGGTTCCCCATTATCTTATTCGATTAGTTTAACACATTAATAATGGTTACGAAATATTTATTTTGTATCCACTCGCACCCCCTACTACCCTCCATCAATTAATCTTACCCCCACTCTTATTATCCACTTCCTATTATATTTTATGCATCGTATTCTTATTCTGTCTGTTTTTTTTAACTTTAAAGTTCTTTTATTTTTGTTTGTCATAGTAATGGTAAAGTAGTAACAGTAGTAACAGTAGGTAAAGCAGTAAAGTAGTAAAGTAGTAGTAGTAGTAGTAATAGTAGTAGTATAAAAGTATCACCGCATAAATTTCGTCCAGCAGACAGGCGTTAATTACTCTCAGGTCGGAGTAACAACGTATATACATATATATATATATATAAAACTGTATAATATATATATATCAGAGATTGCAATGCTATAAATTGTGCATCTTTGCAATTTCTTGGAAAAGTTTTGGTAAATATTTTTTATACCAAAAGTGAATAGATTTTAATTAAACTTATATTAAATTAAAGTACACTCTTTTATCTACGCGTAGAGTACCATATCGAGTTATAAATTAATCTGCAAGGGTTCAAAAAATGGCAGAGAATGCAATGCTGTAAATTGTGCATCTTTGCAATTTCTTGGAAAAGTTTTAGTAAATATTTTTTATACTAAAAGTGAATAGATTTTAATGAAACTTATATTAAATTAAAGTTTGCACTTTTGGCTACGCGTAGAGTATCTTTTCGAGTTATAAATCAATTTGCAAAGGGTCAAAAAATGTCAGAGAAAGCAATGCTGTAAATAGTGCATCTTTGCAATTTCTTTGAAAAGTTTCGGCTAATATTTTTTATACTTATAGCTAGCGAATTTTATTAATTTTTATATTAAATTAAAGTGCAAACTTTTGGCTACGCGTAGAGTATCTTTCTGGGTTATAAATTAATTTGCAAAGGTTCAAAAAATGTCAGAGAATGCGATGCTGCACATTATTTCCTACTTTGCCATTTCTTTGAAAAGTTTCTGCAAATATTTTTTATACTTTTTGCAAATGGATTTTAATGATTTTTATATTAAATTAAAGTGCACTCTTTTAGCTACACGTAGAGTACAAATTTGAGTTATAAATCAATTCGCAAAGGTTCAAAAAATGGCAAAGAAAAGTTGGCAAGTTAGGCAATGTGAATAATGCCTAAGGCCAGGCATTG